GCCCTTTGCACCCTTTCCTCCTTCTCAACATCTGTGATGACCAAAGGCTGCCCAGCATTAGGAATAACCAGCTTCAAATCCTTCACAGCAAGATGCGTTCTGCCTCTAAGGACCCAGCTGATCCTTCCATTCCAGAGTCGCAGAATACTGGTGACAAATGGCATGAGGTCGCCAACCAGCACAGCTGCTCCCTTCCCAGCTTGGAGATCAGCTGTCATTCTTTTCACCTCTTCCTCTGGCCAATTGCCCCTCTTGTCTCACCTTTCCTTAGAGGTCTCATTTCCTGATCATGTGTATTGAGATAGCCAAGGAATAGATGAACATACTGTGGATTTGGGGCATCCTCGGTAACACCAACCACAGCTCAGGTGCTGCTAGGTCTCCAGCATCCTGTGGGACACACCCTGTTGAATAATAGTAAATGGCCACATCTCTGTGAAGCAGGAAGGTCGGCAACCTCAGTGTTTGTCTCATACCCACGAAGTAAGTGTGAACCATAAGACAACAGATTTTTGCAGAGAAATGGGCGCCTCGGGCAGTCACCTGCTGCTCTAAGGCCTCATGTAACTTTCCCAAGGAGATCATCAATTGTTTGAGCTTTTCCAACCACTGGAGAGTCTCTGTAGTTCCCACAGGACCAAATCGGCAAGATCCATCAGGTGCCCTGAGCATGGCAGAAGCATAACTGGGGAAAACCTAGGCAATTTGCAGCTAAGACTGTGGTTTTGGCTCCGATACCAAAATATCTGTCCCTCTCCTCACTCTAATCTCTTCTCAGTCAAATAAGCATACAGTAAAGGACCTTGTGCTTTCTTCATTTTTTAATCAGGATGGAGACAAGGCAAGGATATAGAATTAAAGCTATTTAAAATGCAAAATACCATGAGTCCTAAGCATTACAACAACACTTTCATATTACTTCACTTCTGGTTTGATTAATTCTTCCTAACTTGGAAGCCTAGAGAAGGAATCAGTCTCTGTGGTTTTGGGGAGAGTAACAAGAGTAAAAATAAGTCAAGCAGAAGTTAAATTAGAAAGAAAAAAGTCAAATGGTGTTTCTTTTCTGGGAGAGGGAGAAAGAGGAAAAAGAGATAAGAACTCAGCAATAAGATGGAACCAGAGCTTACAAATACAAAGTTGTATAAATGGCTTCCTCACTGGGACTGGCGAGGACCCAGTAGGATGAAGAGAGAGTGGCTGCTCGGGCCTTAGGAACTGAGGGGCTAAAACCCAAAGGGTATCTTGATTACAGGGAGCCAAAGTAAAGAGAAGGTGGCCAGCTGTGGAGAAGGACATTCTTTAGTTACTATTTTGTGTATTGCCTGAGGCCTGACCAAGCCTTGATTGTTGGGTTCTGGAGGAAGTCTACCATAAGCATTGTAAGTCCCGGGGTCAATACTAGATGCTTTGCTGAGCTATAGGGGAAGGTAGATAACATGATGGCTAAGCCATCAAGTCCCATTCCTATGATAATTGAGTTGTATTGTTCTTGCTGAAACAGTTGATATCCTCCAATTCCTCAGCTGCCTCCAGGGGTTCCTTCTGAATAAAAGGTCACTGAATATGGAAATCAGGGGTCATTCCTAGAGGCTGCTAGCACCTGATCACAGAACTTTGGTTCTCTTGGTTTTCTTTTTTCTTACACATCTGTGGGCACTTAGTTCGGGAGACCTGTTCACCCTGGACAGAGTTGGATGAGTGATCCGACAGCCAGCTAAGTTTGCTCTACTAGTAAAAGTCAAGTTTTGAATGTGGATATGAAACATAACATCAAAAACAGGAGTTCTACTTCGGGTGGGAACTATAGTTGATCATGGTGCTTTGAACCAACCCTTCTATTGAAAACAGCTAGAAAAGATGAAAAAATATTAGAAATATCTCTTTGAAGCAAATAGAGATATGCAAACTTTGGAGGAATTTGTGGGCTTAGGAGCAAGATCCAGGAGATGAAGTAAAACCAGAAAGATGAAAATTCAGGAGCATTCTCTCCTGAAGACAACTGCCTGAAAGTTATAGATGAGAACCAAATAAGCTACATACAGCTTGTGGCTAGATGAATGAAATCTAGAGCTCAGAACTGTCACAGAAGGGATAGTTTGGGAAACACTACAAGCATTTAATTGGGATCCAAAAAGAACCACACCCTAGAAGTAAGGGGGTAGCAGGAGTTGAAATCCAGTTGCATAATCTCTCAGAACTGATTTAACTCTGGTGACCTAGTGTTGCTAGTACCAGACTAACCACCTTCCAGATGCAAAGGAAATATTCTCTAGAAGCAGATGATCCTATGAAATCCTCAAATTAACTGTTCTGTTTTTCATGTGGAATACACAGTACTCAATGAAAAATGTCAGCCAAGAAGATCTGATCAATATACAAGTAAAAGTAGATAATAGGAAAAGACCCATGGAGCATCTAGTTAATAGGATTATCATCTACAGACTTCAAAATAATTAACATTTTTAAAGACTTAAAACACAAGGTGGGGAATTTTGACAAACTGTGGCCTACATAGAAAACCAGATACATTAAAAGAGATACTTACTTAGCAAACTGCAAGATACATATGTCAGAAGAAAACCTGCTATTCAATAGGATGAAACAAATGGATGGAAACACAGAAAAAAAGTCTAAGAAATGTGGGAGAAAAGTAAAAATGTTTAAAATATGTGTAATTCAAGCTCCAGAAGGAGAAGACAGCAAGAATAGAGAAGTAATATATGAAGAGATGATGGCTAGGATCGACCCCAAACTTACAAAAAACGTCACACCACATATTGAAAAAGCATTCCATTCAAACCCAAACAAATAAATACAAAGGTAACTACATTTAATCATATCATTATACAATTGCTGAGAAGTAAAGACAAGGCACTTTAAAAGAACCAAAAAAAAGGGACCATGTTTTCAAAGGAACAAAAACAAGACCTGTTTTCTCAACAAAATACAGAAAGCTGGATAATGAAATGCTATTTTCTGGATGCTGAAAGAAAACAATTGCCAACATACAACTTTATAGCTAGTAAAATAAGTATATCATTTTAAAATTCTGGGTGGAGGGAACATTTTAAAACAAACAAAGACCAAAATAATTCATTGCCAGCCATCCTGGCACTATACCACAGGATATTCCTCAGGTGGAAGGGAAATTACCACAATTACAAGAGAGGACACCCAGGATAAAGTGAAGAGCAACAGATAGGGTAAATTGAAATTGATAGGTTTTTCCAGCACAGAGAGAAGTAAAGGAGAATAAAATGCCGTTATTGTGGGTGCAGAGAAAGCCACAGGAAAGAGGAAAACGTGGCTTCTAAGGATCTTTCCTGGGGTCCAAGGTTAAATAGCCCCAGGCTAGAGGTGGGGTTTAGGAGGCAGACCACCTGACATGGCAGACCAGGATTGGGTGGGAGCATGGGAAAAGGGAACAGGATATTACAAAAAGGGAAGTAAGAAGTTGTAATTTGACTCAGCAGAAGGAGGGTGGGGCTTGGCCCATGGCCTCTAGTGTCCAGCACCATATTGGTTGGATGCCATAGTGACTTAGCACCATACCACGGACCTCCAGTGCCATATTGGCTAGGTGCCATAGCAACTCAGCGGGAATTACAGTGGGTCAAGAAACCAACCAGAAATGAATATTGACTCATGCAACAATAATAATTTATTTGTGGGCTTAAAATGCACAGAATTGAAAATGATAGTAATGATAGCAATAAGCTGGAGAGGGACAGAAATAAAAATAATTCATACTCTAAGGTTCTTGCATATTCCAGGAAATGATAAAAACTGGTTAGTACTAATACAGATACATTTTACTAAGTCAGGGATACATTTTATGATGTCTACTGTAATCAGTAAAGGAATGCCTAACTGACAAATAAGTCTTTTTAATAATAAAAAGAAATAATTCACAAATATACAAAGTAAAACAGGGAAAATAAAGACGACTGTCAAGAAAATGGGGTGGCCCCTCTAAAACCACACACTCCAGCAGCAACAGAACCAAGTACATAGTTCAGAGAGAGTAATTTGGAGCTGCAGGGCTGAGTTATTAATTGAGAGGAAGCATAGTAGGAGGAAAGTGGGTCAGAATCTAGGGAGAGGGGTGGGGATAAAGGTGAAAAGCAGAACTGGGGATCAGGGCTGTGTTCCCCAAAATGTTTGGCCAGTGAGTTGGGCGAGGTGAGCGAGGCTGGCTAAAAGGTCCCAAGAGAGCTGACAAAGTGCAGTGGGAAGGGAATCCTTCACTCACCCCAATCAGCAGCTACCATCATGTGACACTGTGGTGACAGTGACATACTCTTCATCGTTTACAGAGCTTTCACGTGAAATGCCACCTGTTCATCACAACTTTGTGATACACAGCAAGCAGAATTATTACCTTCATTCTACACATGAGAAAGGGAGACCTGAAAAATTAAGTAACAACCCTCAAATCATATGCTCCGCACAGAATGAGAAGGTAAACCTTCCAGGTCCCCAACCGCAACTCTTTCAGCCACACATCCTCTGAAGCTACAGTAACAGAGCATGCACAGCCTCCTGGCCTAGCCAAGTATCTGCTACTCTTACACTTTGAAGTGTTTACTTCCCATCCTGCAGAAGAGCTGGGCTATGCAGCGCTACCAAATAGGTGTGAAAAATAAATGGGTTCCTCTCCTGCAAGGCCTAGCGGAGAGTAAACATCGCCTACACTGCATCCAATTCATGGTAACAAAAATCACACTCTCGGAGCAGTAGCTTAAGGGACAGGCGGGAACTAGTAACTGTAGAGACAGCAAGACAGATAGGAGGCAGGTACAGCCTTCTAGGAGTTCCGAGGCCCGAAGAGGGACAAGGGAAGAACACAAGCATACTACATGCAGGACAAACACCATGCAAAGGCAGAGGGAGCAGTGGGGAGACCACACTTGGGTCTCCTGAAAGGAAAATGACGCGAAAGCACCAGGGCGACAGGGATGGAGCTACTGGTGCCTGAGATGCGCAGCCACACCCATTACCTTTCTGGCCAGTGCGACCAGCCCGAAGGCTGTTGCACAGATAATCCCCACCGCTGCGGCCACAGCTCCAAGCAATAGAATCTGGAACCAGGTGCTGGTCTCACCCACTAGAAGGAGGACAAAAGAGAGGTGAATGATGGGGGCTGGAAGTAAAGCTGCCTTCCCCAGTGAAGCCTCAGCTTCAAGACAGAGGTAGGGCCTTGCCGGGCCTTTCCTCTAACCACAAGACCGACAGATTTAAGCCCAACTCTCCGGAAAGTAGAGCATCCTCCCGGCCTGTCACAAAACTTGTGACTGATCTCCTAGGTAGAGGCATAAGGTAGGTATTTGAGCAAGAGCAGATCATTCTTAACACTCCTTCCCTCTATGCAACAAAATCATTTTCAGTGAACACCTAACACCGTCCAGAAGGAAACACAGAAAGTGAACATTTTCCTATATACATATATCCATACCAGTAGAAATAGTTCACTTAGAAATTAAAATGAAATTAATACTAAGCTACAAAATGAAAAGGCGTCTACCTTTTTACCTTAACACTGTGACAGTGATTTTCAGCTAGGCTGTGGAAACCTGGAAGGAGTGAGCCTCCCGAACCTTATGCTTTGGTGTATTCCCAGCACCTGGCACATAGTAGATGCTCAATAAATATTTACAGTATGAATGAAAACATGAACAAGTGAGTTTCTTGAAAACATACAATGTAACTGGAAGGAAGAAAAGGCAAGAGAGGAGTTTTGAAGACAGACATACTTGCTTCAAGGAGAATATGAGGGAAACGAGATAATAGCCCCATACACACCATGCAGAGGACAGAAGGGTTTCCAGGCCACTTCCTCCCTTCCTTAGCTCCTCCCTAGTGTCGTGGGTAGGACTCAGGGGTCTAGGCAGCACACAGACAGTGCTTGCAATATCCAACCCCCTACACCATGCTCCGCTGACTCTGAGGACACGGGCACCATGGGCCAGGCCAGCCCCTGGTGGCCACCGCTATGGAGTCCTTTGGGAAGAAAGGGCAGGGGAGAGGCGAAGTGGTCACACCTGGGGCTCAGCGGGGCCACAACAGCTCCCTACAGAACCAGAGACAGGAGGAGGCCAGAGCGAGGGCGGGAGACAGGACCAGGACAGGATTCTCCTACAACTTGAGGACAATTGCAAAGGGAAGATAAAACTGTGATGAAATTTTTTAAAAGGATTATGATGATGGGTTTGGTTTTAGGTTTAAGGATAAATTAGGGATACTTGGGACCACAGAGGTATTTAAGATATTAAATAAGTGGATCAGGTTCACTTGGAAATTTTGGTTTGAAATAACAGCACCCATTCCTCTCATCCTAGTTGTAGTCACAGAAGAAAGACTTCAAGGTCTTTGAAACAGGAGCAGTCCTTAGATAAGCACCACCACAAGTGCTCGCACCTATTAACGAGGTTAGCTTAAGGTTAAGTTCAAGTTTAGGTTAAGTTCAAGTTTAGAAACTGCTTAGCTATTATAGTCAGTAGGGACTTGGACTAAGGTTTGAGATAGAAAAGCCAGCGTTAGCCAGGAACGGTGGTGTGCATCTGTATTCTCAGTACTCTGAGAGGCTGAGGCAAGAAGATTGAAAGTTTGAGCCCAGCTTGGGCAACTTAGCAACTTAGGGAGACCTTGTCTCAAAATAAAACGTAAAAAAGGCCTGGGAGTGTAGCTCAAGCATGAAGACCTTGGGTTCAATGCCCAAAAACTGCAAGAATAAAAATAAAGAAGAAGATAGGGTTGGAGTTATTGCACATAGTAAAAGGACAACGAGATTTCACAGTAGCAACTGACCCCTGGAGAAACCGGAAGAGACAGGAAGTGGTCAGTGGTGTTTCCCAGGGTCCACAGTGGCAAAAAGAGAGGAAACCTACAGGCCTTGGGCAAGCGTTGGTTCCAGCAGAGCGTCTTCTGAGCTGTCTCCCCAGAAGGAACTGACTGCGGAACTCAGGGAAGAAACCCGTGCCCTTCATCTCCTTGTTTCCACAGCTGTGCCCCTGAGGCCAGGGAGGAGCTTGTCAGCAGCGTCCGCCCTGGATGTCTGGCTCAAAAACCAGCAAACAGACACAGCTCCCCTCTGTTCTGTTCTGCGCTTCCTGGGGCTTCCCTCTCATGGGTACTTCTGCCTGGACTCCCTCCTGCTGTGATCCCACAGTCTGGTGACAGGCCACCACATTTCATAGATGTAAAAACTAGGGAAAAGCTAAATAATTTGCCCACATTACACACAAAAACAGTCAGCCCCAGGCAGTGTGAATCCAGAGACTGGATCTGAACTGCTTACTGCATTTGGCTTACATCAGAGCCAGCCAAGCAGTAACATTTGAAAAGAGACTTTGAGTAGGTAACCTTTTAGCTGCTCAATGTACACAAATTTTGAAAACTCATAAAACTTCATCGCTAACACAACCTGATGGCAGTAAGTAGAAATTCTGAGTGTGGTGTTTCATCACTAAAAATACCCATGTTGAAATCAGCTCATTCACTCTGAGCAACTCCAAGTCTGAGCTTCCACCTCCACCAGGCAAATGGGAATCGTATTCAGGCAACACTTACACGGTGCTCACCCTGACCCAGGCACTGTTCTAAAGACATATGTGTAGAGGGCAATTTAGTCTTACACCAGCATCTCCTAAGGTCTTACCTCTACCCTCAGTGCTCTAATGAGGAGACTGACTCACGGAGGAGCTAGGTTATCTTGTCTGAGTCAACAGCAGAGCATGATGTGCACCCAGGCTGTCTGGCTCTTCACCAATCTGCCACACTGTCACTTGGATCTGATATATAATCCTTTCCCAGTATCTGGAGATTCGGTTTAAGCATCCAGATAGATAACAACTATGGGGGCATCCTGGAAATTTTGAAATACCACACAAATATCAACTACTGTCCATGTACTGAGGATGGGCTGCGCTTTGTTTTTAACCAGCTCTAATATTTGTAAACATAAGGACTAATTCTAATTTTCACTACTGATACTAAGACGACAGATGAACACCCTTCGTATATGACCTCATCTTCAAAGCTTCCTTGTTGATATACGCTGTGCCTCTGATGGAAGCACAGCATTACTAGGTCCTGCTTTGGGAATATGTCACATCCAAGCTCTGTTCCTGGAGACTGAATTCATTGGTCTGGGTGCTCCCTGGTATCAATAGTCCTTATTTTTTTCCTTTATTTTTTTCAAATTTTTTTATTGGTACGTGTTGGTGGTACATAATGTTTTCATTCCTTATGTGGTGCTGACACATGTACATAGCACATCTTAACTCCCTTTTCCATCCCTTTTCCCTCCCTTTAATCCTCTTCTCCCTTTGAGAAAGATCTATCTCCCTACTTCTTATTATCTATCTTTTATTTTGCACTTCATTTATAATATTCCTGTTCAGTGTTACCTCTGCTCCACCACGGCTAAAAGCTCCTCAGGGAGGTCCAGTGTGCTCGGAGATGCGGAAGTCCTACTCCCAAGCGAGCCTTCATGGTGTTTTCCGTGTTAGAGAAAGAAGTTCCTCAGCTACCCTGCTCCAGTGCACGTACCTGAGCTTCCTCGGACCTCCAGGAAGATTCTCCCCCTGTAAATCCCATCCGGGTAGGTGTGGTAGATGCAGAAGTACTCCCCTGTGTCGTTCATAGTCAGTGAGTGGAAGGTGAGGCCTGCACTGGGGCCTGGGGACACCCGCCCGCTGCAGACTGGGTTGATGTACCACCCAAAGTCAGGGTGATAAATGGCCAAGAGCTGGTCTTGTTGCTCCCAGTTGACCTGGGTCACATTAGCCGTCGTGGAGGAGAAGTAACACTGTAAGACGACAGAGCCACCTTCCTTTGCCAGGATGTTCCCCTGTGTTACTATTGTACCTTCCACAGACTCTAGGGAGAGGAAAAAAAGAGATGATGAGATGAGATCAGGTCAACCACCGCTTTCAATCTTCCCATAGAAATTCCAGTGTGTTCCAAGGCCAGTTGGTTTCACGAACCATAATTCCTCCAGTACCTCTTATCCTCTCCATAGAGACTGCTCTTGTTTCCTGTTCCCCCAATTTCTAGAGAACCTTCTCTCCACGGCTACCATTCAAGCCTCCGGGCCCAGCCCAAGGCCCCTTTCCGGTCTTGAGGCCTTCTCCACGCTGCTCCGCTCTCTCCAGCCCACTCCTTTCCTCTGTCACCTCTGCTTCCACTCCCCCATCAGGCTCCCACTTCCAGGCTCCTCAAAGCTGCACTTCCTCCCCAGAATCTTTTAGGACCTCAGGCTGTCACGACCACCCTCTGCCTTTCACACTCATGGCCCTTACTGTGCGACTCTCACCCTCTTGGGGCGTTCTGTTGAATCACCTCATAACTGGCTCATTATTATTTGCATGTGTTTCTTTTGTCCTCCTACTTAGAATGCATGCAAGTACATGTACATGAACTATGTACATGCTATGTACATGTGTCAGCTCCACATAAGGAATGTAAACATTATGTACTACAAACATGTACAATGAATTCTGCCAGCACCATCTCTTCTAGTGTGAGATCTTCCAACACCCTCATGCTGTCCTGGGTGTCTCAGCCTTTGCAATAAAACGTGGCTGTCTGGTTGGCTGCCACTTGGTGTGTCTTCAGGAAAGCCAAGAAATTCCAGGGAAAGTAGATCTGGCAAGAAACTCTGCTTGTCCCAGGGAAAACCAACCTCTTCAGTTGCCTACCTTTCCCCAGCTCCCCGGGTCCCTCTCCACCCCAGCAGGTTCAGAGGACAACAATCCAATGAATTTCTACTACAGCTTTCAAGAATTCAAGTCCCCCTCCCTCAGAAATCCTTGTCTCTGATTTTTAGTAAAGAAGAAATAAATCTAATAAAAATTCAGTCTACAGTGGTTAGACCCTACAGAATCTGTGAAAGAGACATTTTTGATCAACAGAGAAATACCTACATTGTTTGGTTGGAAGGTTCCTCAGAAAAGGAAAAGTAGACAGCGCAGGAGTGAGCTTCTAAAGGCTAACTTCTGAGGCCTCTTTCTTGGTTCCCTTTCCTTCACTTGCCACCTTTCTTTCTGGCCATTCAGAATCCCCCACCTGAAGATCCACAAATTCCTGCATCTTCCATCCAAACAGAGCTTCACCTCTGTCTCAGAGATGCCCCTTCTCACGTAAGGGTACACAGGACCACAGACCTGTGCTTCCATCCCTCAAACCGAAGCAGTGTGAACTTTAGACCCTCCCTCCCGGGGCACCCGGCCTCAGTGCCGAGATCAGTGTTATTCTTTCTCCCTCCTGCTCTGCAAGGTGTTCAGGCCTTACCTGAGGTGAGACGGGCAGCCTGCCTCAGGCTGTGAGCCCAGATCAGGAACAAACACCAGCGCATGCTTCTGCCCAAGGCGCTGACAGGAAGACACGCGGCCTCCGCTATGACTGAAACTGGCCAACAGCAGCTGGCAAGGTGAAACTAAGCCGGGGACAGAAGAGGGTCTCGGAAAAACTGAGTTCAGCAAAAGCAGTGTCAAAACCAGGTAAAACTCTCAACAAGTAAACAAAGTGCACAGAATGAACCACAAGAAAGACTGTGAAGGAGATGCACTTTCAAATAAACCAAAACATCTGGGTAGAAGTATACTAGACTTGGTTGACTATAAAGTAAACTATCCTTTTTAAATTCTATCTTCATGCACTTAAAAAAACCAGCCTTATAATAAAGGGTTCAAAGGCATCTGTTGCCGATGAGGAACTGCTTGTTGAGTGGGTTCCCCTAACTCCACCCTGTGCTGAGGAAAGTACAGCAATAAGAGGAACTGGTAAGAGTGGCACTTGGAAGGCCAGACACTGCCTTTGAAATCTAACAACTGGGGACAACACATGGGTGAGAGAAAGGTCTTTGACAAACAGAGCAACTTTCTTTGAATGAAGTCCGCTCCTCAAATCCTACTTTTGTCTTGTTTATCTGGATTGAGACTTCACTGGATCCTGGCCTGGTTCCTCTGAGGAAGTGGAATCAGAAGAGGTGAGAAGATTGAGCTATCCTCTACACAGTGAGCCCGGCAAAGTTGGAAATGCGGAGAGGAGGGAGCCCCATGGCCCGGCCTGGAGCCTGGAAGGAGATCGGTCGATGCTCATCTGGGGCACCCAGTTCATCACGAGGTCCTACAGTTGACAGATCCCTCCTTCCTTCCCCTCTTCCTCGCACCCAACTTCCTCCATTCACTTAAGTCCCTGAGTGCTGACAGAACACCAGACTCCATGCCGTACTCTGAAGAATCACAGCTTTGCCTTAGAAGAGTTTTCATGACTGTGCTCTCTTGGGAGGCCATTTCAGAGGAGAGTTTGGAGCAGCCACATTCACCTGCCTCCTAGGCTCTCACCACCGCTACCTGGACATGCTCCCAGGTCAGTGCCTTGCATGTCTGCATCTTCGCGAGGGGGAATATCGCAAGCCTGGTGTCCTGCCCCCTCCATCCCAGACAGACTCCCTGCGCACTTCCTTCCATCAAGGCTTCTTCTCTGCAGGGTGCTCTATCTCAGGCGCTGGGTTCTGCCCACTCTCAACTCTACACCATGACCCACGTGCCACCCACACCCCGCCTCCAGTCCTCCAGACAATGAATGTATTTGCCAGCTTCTCTGCACCTACCCAAAGTCAGCCTGCCCTTCAAAACTCACATCGAGAGACCTCTCCACAAACTTTCCTGTAGCCACAGTGCCTTCAGCTGAAAGAGCAACTGCACCTAACACTATCCAAAGGATGGCACTGAGGTTGAATGGGAGGGGTGAGGCCAAAATTGGCTGCCAAAGCAGAGCTGTGAGGTGGAAGAGCCAGGAGCAGCTGGTGGGACCACAGCACATGGAAAGGTGGATGTTTGCATTTGCTCTGTGAAAATTGACAGCCTATATGTTTCTATAGTGGGGTGGGTGGGAGCAAAAGAAATGCAGCTTCCCTTATGTAATGAGAAATCCGAAGAAACTTAACAGCTGGTTAAAAAAAGAAGTTAAAGACTTTTTCTTTTTATTTCTAAACAACCAGTCCCAAGAAGAACATGGCAAGTGCATTCTGAGCAACGGTGTTCTTCAGAGACATTCAAGGGAAACAAGGCACTATACAGTAATACTGGGACCCAAATCATCCTGTGCTGGTGACCAAAGGAAAACTACTCAACTGCCTCGAGCCTCAGTTTCCTCATCTGTGTCTGAGAGTTACAGAACCTCCCACAGTGGGCTGTTGTGAAGATTTGATGAACTAGAGTTTAGCGAGGTGTTTAGTACAGTGCCTGGAATACAGTAAAGTCCAACACATCGATTATAGTATTGATAACCATATTAATGAAGGAACTGAAAAGAAAATCAGAGGAGGCGATCTCTCTCTATGTAATGTACTTTACCAAGAGGGAAGCCATCGTCTCTGGACTCCAAGGCCAGCGCTCTGGAGGACCTCTTCATTCTGTCACATGGGTCTGAGGTAAAAACATGAGGACACAGGTGAGCGGCTACTGGGCCCACTAGACCCAGCTGCCTTGGTGGAAATTAAGAGACATAAGAGTCTTCCAGGGAACCTTCCACAAGCCCCTCTGTGTGGCTCTCTCCCACATGGAGCCTCACTGGTCCTGCCACCCACAGCAATGGCCACTGCCAGCTCCAGGAAGCAGTCCTGGTCTGAGCCCTCCAGGTCTACTCTGTTTGGGGCCAGTTGGCAGCATGTGTGGTAGAGTATGAGCTTCTCAGTTCAGTCTTGTGCTAATCTCTCTGGATGCTCTAAAATGAGCCAACGTACTTCTTTTTCTCCCCTGACTTCGGGGGCGAGGGTTGGACGGGGCTGGTCAGCCTTGGTGTGTGGAGGTGCGGATCTTCACACTTGTCTGAAGAAAGGGAAGAAGTGAGTGCCTTCAGAACACTCCGCCAGCACATCCTTTCACAGCCCAGCCTTCCCCTGGCCTGCTGAGAGCCCTGCAGGAACCCTCAGCCAGTTCCTGAGGCCCAGGCCTGACCCATCCCTGAGCTGGGCCTGCAGCTCTGGGAGAAGAGGGCTGGGAGATGCCACACTTTCCCCAAGGCCTGGGGCTTGTGCCCAGGAAAAACCCAGGGTTCTCTCAGGGCACAGACTGATCTCTCAGCAGCATCCTTGGACTTCAGCCCCTCTACAGTCTCTTCTTCAGTCAGAAGTAGTAGAAGGAGCCCCAGAATCCTCACAACGTGTGTCCCTCCTGTCCTTGCCTCTAACCCAACATCCTGCATCTGCGGCGGGCAGTGACCCGTTCGGGTAGCCCTCCCACGCTCTGCCCCGCACACCAGCGCCCCCTGGTGGCAGACTTTGTTGTGGCTGAAGGCGGCAAGAAGGCCAGCTCCTGCTCTCTACACAGCTCTGCGGGAGTCCGGAAGACAAATACTGCCGGAAAGAATGTGCCGTGTTGCCTCCCCCTCATCTACCTCACAATCATTGCAAAACCGCGCAGGGCGGCGATATCTGAGCAATGGGGTGGTTATTGGAAAGGCACTCGGAGAGAGAGCTGCTTCAAAAATCCAACTCAACCCAAAAAGATCTGTGATCTAAGGCTCATTAATAAATAAGTCTGTGCACCCCGGGGGTTATGGCTGACCTTGGCTTACACTGAATGTGAATGAGTCTAATTCGGGGGTGGGATCACTGACTTCTGTTGGTCCAAATTCTGTTTAGCGAGTGACTCTGAGGATTCCCGTCATCCCCAAAGGCTGCCAAAAAGTTCCGTAGATTCTGGAAGATTTCCTTTGCCTTCTTAGCTGTAAAAACAGAACAGAAAACCCCCAGGGTGGGTTGGAATGCAGACTCAGAAGAAAAACCTCTGGGAAAAGGCAGCCGATGCTGTCTCCTCGGTTTAGGCCTCTCTTCAGCCTCTCTCACAGATCCCCCACCAAAGCTGCTCCTCTCCTCTCCCTGCTCCATCCTAGATGGGACTGCGCTGTCATGTACTTAGAAAAGTTGTTCAGTGGTGCTTGTTCAAGCACAGTAAGCCAGACTGTTTGGGACTGTGTAGTAGGCTGGCAGCAGGGTAGTGATATTCTGTAGTAGGGTGAAAGATGGGCTCAGTTCTGAGTATAGCACGCGCGAGTGGGAACTGATGCCAAGAAGCAGGGTGGCAGTCAGCGCACGGAAAGCTCTAAGAGGAAACAACAGCGGTAGGGAGGGATTTGGCTCAACCAACCTAACAGGATTCTTCGTAAAGACAGACCAGAACTACCAGACTTCAACCATGGATGAGGAACCTGATCAGATATGGGGGTTCCTGCTCTGACTTAGCAAGCTTCTTTGGTAAAACTGGATTTTACAAGGAAGTGAACAGGTAGGCCTAGAAGATTCAGAGTCTGACTGATGCAAGGAATCTTTGCCACTGTCGATCCTATCCACCTGCTCCCCACCTCCATCCCCTTGAGAAATGCATTCTACTTCCTACTACATGCACCCCTCAATCATCCAGAACTAAGATTGAGACAGAAGTACAAGTGACCATTCCATTTCAAGAACTCTTTAATCACCAAGAACTGGCGGGCAGGCCTGGATGGTTTCACAAGGAGACTGTAACAAACGGAAGGAAGCAGGTCATTTCAGTGTTATTTCAAACATACAGATATAGAACATAAAGGAAAACTTTTTCATTAGTTCTGCAGAGTGAACTGAAAGACTATATAAAATGATTAAGATCACATACACTAGAAGAAAACCAGAGCCTAATCTTGCTTCCATATATCGAGGAGAAATCTAAATAAAATATCAGTACAAGGCTCCAATAGCATATTAAATGGCATATCTAATGATCAGGAACATTTTAACCCAGAATGTCAATAATAATTTAAAACTAGGAAATCATTCATGTTAAATATTAGGTCTATATTTTTAAAAGCATAGTACCATTTATTTTAGTTCTGATAAGAAATCTGACAGTCAATAACTATAACTGACCTTTTAAAACTCAGTAACATAAAAATCAAGAAATTATTTCTCCACATAAACCCACACACGTACACACACAAATTATTTCCAAAGCTAATATCTCTTTTGATGACAGAACACTACAGGTATTTACACTAAGGTCAGGAATAAAATATTTACTTTAGGTACTACTCAATTCAATTAAGTAAGAGAAGCATTTTTTTAAAAAACGTAAGAATTAAAACTAAGTAGATAAAACTATCTCTAGTTATAGACAAAAGAACCAATGGTAAAATACCATTAACCATAAAAGAATCTAAAAGTTAACAGGATATAAAATTAGTGTAAATAAACAAATATTCTCCCCATTTGCAATTATAAAATAGAAAGTAATTCAGATGAAAACTTCTACTTACAATCACAGCAAAAAAGATAAAATAAGAATAAATTTATAACAGGAAATATGCAAAAGTCATATGAAGAAGACTTCACTCCAATAAATCTGCTATCCAAATATGTATTTCAAATGATACACTACAAACACTAAAGGAAAATATGGGGGAATTCCTTTAAAGCCTGAAAATAAAGAAAATCTTTTTAACTATGACTCAAACTCTAGAATCAATCAATAAAAATTGCTGATGAGTAGATCTTTAAAGTACTTTTGCATTAAAATATTACAAAAGTCCAAAGACAAATAGAAACTAGTGAATAACAGTTGGAGCTTAGTTCACAGCCAAATGACTTCTTTCCCTCATCTAAGGAGTTCCTAGACACAAAGAAGAAAAAGACCAATCCTGAGGGTGTCAAAATACCTGAACTGACAGTGCACAGGAAAGGAAAGGAAAATGTTCCTTTCCCATGGAAAGTTCTTCAACCTCCATTATACAGGGAGGGATGAGCATCAAAACTACATTGTTACATCATTTTTTCTCCCACCAAATTGGCAAAAATCAAGATTTTGATGATATATGGTACTGGGCAGCCCACAGAGAAATAAGGACTATCATACCTTATTATTAGGAATGAAAAGTAATACAACTCCTCTGGAGAATTCATTCATATCTATCAAGATCGTAGCAGTGTTTATCCTTTGATCCAGCAATGCTGCTTCCAAAAGTATAGGTGTCTTGGTTACCCTCCTCTCATCGCTGGGACAAAATACCCAATGCTCAGAATTAAGGAAGGAAAGGTTTATTTAGCTCACAGTTTGTGGAGATTTCTGTCCATACTCCTTGACCCCAAGGCAGAGTGGCACATAGCAGAGGGCAACAGTTCATGGTGGCAGAAAACAGCAAAAGCAGCAGGAGCAAAAAGGGAGGAGCAGCAGCAGCAAGCCTCTTTCCTTCCCTGTGTGGTAGGTAGGCTACCCTCCCCTGGCGGGGTAGTACTCACACCTGTAATCCCAGCACTGGACCATGAATCAATCATAAACTCTAGAAGCCTGCCCCAAGACTGCATGAGGCTCCAGGGGCGATGTCTAGACACAAACCATAACAATAAGGAAATAGTTGCACAAATATGAAACAACACAGGTACTCACATTGTTTTTTTAAAAAGATAACAACCCAAATATCTACCAGTAGTGAAATGTACGAGTGAACTGTGAATCTACAGGTGACAGAAGACTAGGCAACCATAAAAAAGAAAATGAGGTTGTTCTCAGTGTACTGTTATCAGTTGATTCCTGTAAGTATTGTCAAATTCGAAGGCAAGGTGCCAAAGAGTTTGAAGAATCTACTACCTTTCTGGGAAGGGGAAAGAGTAAGAATATGAGTATGAATTTGCCTATATGAGTCACTTTTAAAACACTGTAAAAATTAGCCAGATATTAATTTTAAAAATTAGTTATCTTTAGACAGTAGAAAAGGGAGTATAAGAGGAATGGGTTGGGATTGAAGAGAAACTTCCTTCGGGATAGCTTTTAACTTCTGAAACGTACTGTTTACAAATTCAAAACCTGCGTATTGCTACGTTCTGAATGTTTGTCTCCCCCACAGCTCCTATGTTGAACTGATATGTCTAACCCCCGGTGTGAGGGTGGAGGGAGAGCCTTTTGAGAAGTGGTTAAGTGATGGGGTTAGAGCCTCGGTGGGATCAGCTCCCTTGTGGAAAAGACCTGAAGGAGGATGTTCACTCCGGCCACCACATGAAGACAAAGGTAGATGTCACTATGAGAAATAGCCTTCGCAGACACTAAGACTCCCGGCACCTTGATCCTGGGCTTCCCAGCCTCTGGGACCGTGAGAGATAAATGTCTGTTTTTTTGTGAATTATTCCAGCTAAGGTATTTTGTTATAGTAGAGAGAACAGACTGAGATATAGATATAGATATAGATATAGATAGATATATAGATATATAGATATAAGAAAAGCCATCCCTAAAATCAAAGGGGGGGCAAATTAATCTAACTGCTACACAATTAATAACATAGAGAGAAAAATTAATGATTTCAACTAATTTGGAAACTTGGTGCTTTATACTACTT